GTTACTGAGGGCCACAGAACCGTTACTTAGGGCCACAGAAAAACGTTACTCAGGGACACAGAATTGTTACTGAGGGCCACAGAACCGTTACTTAGGGCCACAGAATTGTTACTCAGGGACAGACACAGAATTGTTACTGAGGGGACACAGAATTGTTACTGAGGGCCACAGAACCGTTACTTAGGGCCCACAGAAACGTTACTCAGGGACACAGAATTGTTACTGAGGGCCACAGAACCGTTACTTAGGGCCACAGAATTGTTACTCAGGGACAGACACAGAATTGTTACTCAGGGACACAGAATTGTTACTGAGGGCCACAGAACGTTACTTAGGGCCACAGAATTGTTACTCAGGGACACAGAATTGTTACTGAGGGCCACAGAACCGTTACTTAGGGCCACAGAATTGTTACTCAGGACAGACACAGAATTGTTACTGAGGGCCACAGAATTGTTACTTAGGGCCACAGAAACGTTACTCAGGGCCACAGAAAACGTTACTCAGGGACACAGAATTGTTACTGAGGGCCACAGAACCGTTTACTTAGGGCCACAGAAACGTTACTCAGGGACACAGAATTGTTACTGAGGGACACAGAATTGTTACTTAGGGCCACAGAAACGTTAGTAGGGGCCACAGAATTGTTACTCAGGGACAGACACAGAATTGTTACTGAGGGCCACAGAATTGTTACTGAGGGACACAGAATTGTTACTGAGGGCCACAGAACCGTTACTTAGGGCCACAGAATTGTTACTCAGGGACACAGAATTGTTACTGAGGGCCACAGAACTTGTTACTTACTTACTGGGGCCACAGAAACGTTACTTAGGGCCACAGAATTGTTACTCAGGGACAGACACAGAATTGTTACTGGGCCACAGAATTGTTACTTAGGGACACAGAAATGTTACTCAGGGACACAGAATTGTTACTGAGGGCCACAGAATTGTTACTTAGGGCCACAGAAACGTTACTCAGGGACACACAGAATTGTTACTCAGGGACAGACACAGAATTGTTACTGAGGGACACAGAATTGTTACTGAGGGCCACAGAATTGTTACTGAGGGACACAGAATTGTTACTGAGGGCCACAGAACTGTTACTTAGGGCCACAGAACCGTTACTTAGGGCCACAGAAATTACTCAGGGACACAGAATTGTTACTCAGGGACACAGAATTGTTACTGAGGGCCACAGAATTGTTACTTAGGGCCACAGAATTGTTACTTAGGGCCACAGAATTGTTACTGAGGGACAGAATTGTTACACAGAACCGTTACTTAGGGCCACAGAATTGTTACTCAGGGACAGACACAGAATTGTTACTGAGGGACACAGAATTGTTACTGAGGGCACAGAATTGTTACTTAGGGCCACAGAATTGTTACTTAGGGCCACAGAATTGTTACTCAGGGACAGACACAGAATTGTTACTGAGGGCCACAGAATTGTTACTTAGGGCCACAGAAATTGTTACTCAGGGACACAGAATTGTTACTGAGGGCACACAGAATTGTTACTGGGGACACAGAATTGTTACTAGGGCACAGAATTGTTACTCAGGGACAGACACAGAATTGTTACTCAGGGGCCACAGAATTGTTACTGAGGGACCACAGAATTGTTACTTAGGGCCACAGAAAACGTTACTCAGGGACACAGAATTGTTACTCAGGGGACAGACACAGAATTGTTACTCAGGGACAGACACAGAATTGTTACTGAGGGACACAGAATTGTTACTGAGGGCCACAGAATTGTTACTTAGGGCCACAGAATTGTTACTCAGGGACACAGAATTGTTACTGAGGGCCACAGAACCGTTACTTAGGGCCACAGAATTGTTACTCAGGGACAGACACAATTGTTACTCAGGGACACAGAAATTGTTACTGAGGGCCACAGAAACGTTACTTAGGGCCACAGAATTGTTACTGAGGGACACAGAATTGTTACTGAGGGCCACAGAAACCGTTACTTAGGGCCACAGAAATGTTACTCAGGGACAGACACAGAATTGTTACTGAGGGACACAGAATTGTTACTTAGGGCCACAGAAACGTTACTCAGGGCCACAGAATTGTTACTCAGGGACACAGAATTGTTACTGAGGGCCACAGAACCGTTTTACTTAGGGCCACAGAAACGTTACTCAGGGGGACAGACACAGAATTTGTTACTGAGGGCCACAGAACTGTTACTTAGGGCCACAGAATTGTTACTTAGGGCCACAGAATTGTTACTCACAGAATTGTTACTGACACAGAATTGTTACTGAGGGACCACAGAATTGTTACTTAGGGACACAGAATTGTTACTGGGCCACAGAATGTTACTTAGGTGCCACAGAACCGTTACTTAGGGCTTGTTACTCAGGGCCACACACAAATTGTTACTCAGGGACACAGAATTGTTACTGAGGGCCACAGAAATGTTACTTAGGGCACAGAAACGTTACTCAGGGCCACAGAACTTGTTACTCAGGGACCACAGAATTGTTACTTAGGGCCACAGAATTGTTACTCAGGGACAGACACAGAATTGTTACTCAGGGACACAGAATTGTTACTGAGGGCCACAGAATTGTTACTTAGGGCCACAGAAACGTTACTCAGGGACACAGAATTGTTACTCAGGGCACACAGAATTGTTACTGAGGGACACAGAATTGTTACTGAGGGACACAGAATTGTTACTGAGGGACACAGAATTGTTACTGAGGGCCACAGAATGTTACTGAGGGCCACAGAATTGTTACTTAGGGCCACAGAAACGTTACTCAGGGACACAGAATTGTTACTCAGGGACAGGGACACAAATTGTTACTAGGGCCACAGAACAGAATTGTTACTTAGGGCCACAGAATTGTTACTGAGGGACACAGAATTGTTACTGAGGGCCACAGAATTGTTACTTAGGGACCACAGAATTGTTACTCAGGGACACACAGAATTGTTACTGAGGGCCACAGAATTGTTACTGAGGGACACAGAATTGTTACTCAGGGGACACAGAATTGTGTTACTCAGGGGACACAGAATTGTTACTCAGGGACAGACACAGAATTGTTACTGAGGGCACAGAATTGTTACTTAGGGCCACAGAAACGTTACTCAGGGACACAGAATTGTTACTGGGCCCAGACAGAATTGTTACTTAGGGCCACAGAATTGTTACTCAGGGGACAGACACAGAATTGTTACTCAGGGACACAGACAGAATTGTTACTGGGGCCACAGAATTGTTACTTAGGGCCACAGAAACGTTACTCAGGGACACAGAATTGTTGTTACTCAGGGACCACAGAATTGTTACTCAGGGACAGACACAGAATTTTACTGGGAGGGACACAGAATTGTTACTGAGGGACACAGAATTGTTACTGAGGGACCACAGAATTGTTACTGGGGCCACAGAAACTGTTACTTAGGGCCACAGAACTGTTACTTAGGGCCACAGAAACGTTACTCAGGGACACAGAATTGTTACTCAGGGACACACAGAATCGTTGAATTAAAGAGTATGTCAGACAACATGCAGAGGAGTGGCAGAGGAGGGAGGCAATGTTTTAGGAGCGAGCAGACGTGGCAGCAGAGGAAGGGGTCGAGGCAGCAGCTGCTATTCGCAGCCAGAGGCTAGTGCTCCCGGTGTCATCCAGTACAGTGAGGAAGAGCTTACAGAGGCGCGGTCAGGAACGGGGGGAGACATCCGCCTTTCAGCAGCCAGGCGAAGAAGTAGTGGCGAGGAGAGTGGGCTCGTTAGCCGGTCTAGAGACCGGTCTAGAGACAGGTCTGTCTCCTGACCCACACGCATTGCCGAGGGGGCTAGTAGTGAGGCGGAGACCCTACCCTAATTGATGATGATGAGGCTGATCGCACTTGGCAGGCCTCGTCGTCATCAGGCTATTGCTTCCGCATCATCAGGAGAAGAGGGTGGCAGGGTGCTTGGCAGTTTACATGGGAGCACTGCAGCAAAAACAGTCGGTGGGTTGTCTCCATCGCCACACTCTGCCATGTGCCACTTTCAGGTCTCCTCACTCACACTGCTGGTGTGTTCCAATTTTTTGACATAGGGTGCTGGCAGATTACGGGGCCTCCCATAGCTGCTGCCAGGCCCCTAATCTGCCATGGGCCCCTATATACCGCCTCCTCATGCTGCTGCCAGGTCCAGAGTCTGTCATGGGTCCCTGTACGGCCTCCCATTGCTGCTGTCTCCATCGCCACACTCTGCCATGTGCCACTTTCAGGTCTCCTCACACTGCTGGTGTGTTGTTGAATTTTTTGACATAGGGTGCTGGCAGATTACGGGCCTCCCATAGCTGCTGCCAGGCCCCTAATCTGCCATGGGCCCCTATTATACCGCCTCCTCATGCTGCTGCCAGGTCCAGAGTCTGTCTCTCATGGGGTCCCTGTACGGCCTCCCATTGCTGCTGTCTCCATCGCCACACTCTGCCATGTGCCACTTTCAGGTCTCCACACACTGCTGGTGTGTTGAATTTTTTGACATAGGGTGCTGGCAGATTACGGGCCTCCCATAGCTGCTGCCAGGCCCCTAATCTGCCATGGGCCCCTATATACCGCCTCCTCATGCTGCTGCCAGGTCCAGAGTCTCTCATGGGTCCCTGTACGGCCTCCCATTGCTGCTGTCTCCATCGCCACACTCTGCCATGTGCCACTTTCAGGTCTCCTCACACTGCTGGTGTGTTCAATTTTTTGACATAGGGTGCTGGCAGATTACGGGCCTCCCATAGCTGCTGCCAGGCCCCTAATCTGCCATGGGCCCCTATATACCGCCTCCTCATGCTGCTGCCAGGTCCAGAGTCTCTCATGGGTCCCTGTACGCCTCCCATTGCTGCTGTCTCCATCGCCACACTCTGCCATGTGCCACTTTCAGGTCTCCTCACACACTGCTGGTGTGTGTGTGAATTTTTTGACATAGGGTGCTGGCAGATTACGGGCCTCCCATAGCTGCTGCCAGGCCCCTAATCTGCCATGGGCCCCTATATACCGCCTCCTCATGCTGCTGCCAGGTCCAGAGTCTCTCATGGGTCCCTGTACGGCCTCCCCCATTGCTGCTGTCTCCATCGCCACACTCTGCCATGTGCCACTTTCAGGTCTCCTCACACTGCTGGTGTGTTGAATTTTTTGACATAGGGTGCTGGCAGATTACGGGCCTCCCATAGCTGCTGCCAGGCCCCTAATCTGCCATGGGCCCCTATGTATACCGCCTCCTCATGCTGCTGCCAGGTCCAGAGTCTCTCATGGGTCCCTGTACGGCCTCCCATTGCTGCTGTCTCCATCGCCACACTCTGCCATGTGCCACTTTCAGGTCTCCTCACACACTGCTGGTGTGTTGAATTTTTTGACATAGGGTGTGCTGGCAGATTACGGGCCTCCCATAGCTGCTGCCAGGCCCCTAATCTGCCATGGGCCCCTATATACCGCCTCCTCATGCTGCTGCCAGGTCCAGAGTCTCTCATGGGTCCCTGTACGGCCTCCCATTGCTGCTGTCTCCATCGCCACACTCTGCCATGTGCCACTTTCAGGTCTCCTCACACTGCTGGTGTGTTGAATTTTTTGACATAGGGTGCTGGCAGATTACGGGCCTCCCATAGCTGCTGCCAGGCCCCTAATCTGCCATGGGCCCCTATATACCGCCTCCTCATGCTGCTGCCAGGTCCAGAGTCTCTCATGGGTCCCTGTACGGCCTCCCATTGCTGCTGTCTCCATCGCCACACTCTGCCATGTGCCACTTTCAGGTCTCCTCACACACTGCTGTGTGTGTTCCATTTTTTGACATAGGGTGCTGCTGGCAGATTACGGGCCTCCATAGCTGCTGCCAGGCCCCTAATCTGCCATGGGCCCCTATATACCGCCTCCTCATGCTGCTGCCAGGTCCAGAGTCTCTCATGGGTCCCTGTACGGCCTCCCATTGCTGCTGTCTCCATCGCCACACTCTGCCATGTGCCACTTTCAGGTCTCCTCACACACTGCTGGTGTGTTGAATTTTTTGACATAGGGTGCTGGCAGATTACGGGCCTCCCATAGCTGCTGCCAGGCCCCTAATCTGCCATGGGCCCCTATATACCGCCCTCCTCATGCTGCTGCCAGGTCCAGAGTCTCTCATGGGTCCCTGTACGGCCTCCCATTGCTGCTGTCTCCATCGCCACACTCTGCCATGTGCCACTTTCAGGTCTCCTCACACACTGCTGGTGTGTTGAATTTTTTGACATAGGGTGCTGGCAGATTACGGGCCTCCCATAGCTGCTGCCAGGCCCCTAATCTGCCATGGGCCCCTATATACCGCCTCCTCATGCTGCTGCCAGTCCAGAGTCTCTCATGGGTCCCTGTACGGCCTCCCATTGCTGCTGTCTCCATCGCCACACTCTGCCATGTGCCACTTTCAGGTCTCCTCACACACTGCTGGTGTGTTGAATTTTTTTGACATAGGGTGCTGGCAGATTACGGGCCTCCCATAGCTGCTGCCAGGCCCCTAATCTGCCATGGGCCCCTATATACCGCCCCTCCTCATGCTGCTGCCAGGTCCAGAGTCTCTCATGGGTCCCTGTACGGCCTCCCATTGCTGCTGTCTCCATCGCCACACTCTGCCATGTGCCACTTTCAGGTCTCCTCACACACTGCTGGTGTGTTGAATTTTTTGACATAGGGTGCTGGCAGATTACGGGCCTCCCATAGCTGCTGCCAGGCCCCTAATCTGCCATGGGCCCCTATATACCGCCTCCTCATGCTGCTGCCAGGTCCAGAGTCTCTCATGGGTCCCTGTACGGCCTCCCATTGCTGCTGTCTCCATCGCCACACTCTGCCATGTGCCACTTTCAGGTCTCCTCACACTGCTGCTGTGTGTTGAATTTTTTTTTTTGACATAGGGTGCTGGCAGATTACGGGCCTCCCATAGCTGCTGCTGCCAGGCCCCTAATCTGCCATGGGCCCCTATATACCGCCTCCTCATGCTGCTGCCAGGTCCAGAGTCTCTCATGGGTCCCTGTACGGCCTCCCATTGCTGCTGTCTCCATCGCCACACTCTGCCATGTGCCACTTTCAGGTCTCCTCACACTGCTGGTGTGTTGAATTTTTTGACATAGGGTGCTGGCAGATTACGGGCCTCCCATAGCTGCTGCCAGGCCCCTAATCTGCCCATGGGCCCCTATATACCGCCTCCTCATGCTGCTGCCAGGTCCAGAGTCTCTCATGGGTCCCTGTACGGCCTCCCCCATTGCTGCTGTCTCCATCGCCACACTCTGCCATGTGCCACTTTCAGGTCTCCTCACACACTGCTGTGTGTTGAAATTTTTTGACATAGGTGCTGGCAGATTACGGGCCTCCCATAGCTGCTGCCAGGCCCCTAATCTGCCATGGGCCCCTATATACCGCCTCCTCATCATGCTGCTGCCAGGTCCAGAGTCTCTCATGGGTCCCTGTACGGCCTCCCATTGCTGCTGTCTCCATCGCCACACTCTGCCATGTGCCACTTTCAGGTCTCCTCACACTGCTGGTGTGTTGAATTTTTTTGACATAGGGTGCTGGCAGATTACGGGCCTCCCATAGCTGCTGCCAGGCCCCTAATCTGCCATGGGCCCCTATATACCGCCTCCTCATGCTGCTGCCAGGTCCAGAGTCTCTCATGGGTCCCTGTACGGCCTCCCATTGCTGCTGTCTCCATCGCCACACTCTGCCATGTGCCACTTTCAGGTCTCCTCACACACTGCTGGTGTGTTGAATTTTTTGACATAGGGTGCTGGCAGATTACGGGCCTCCCATAGCTGCTGCCAGGCCCCTAATCTGCCATGGGCCCCTATATACGCCTCTCATCATGCTGCTGCTGCCAGGTCCAGAGTCTGTCATGGGTCCCTGTACGGCCTCCCATTGCTGCTGTCTCCATCGCCACACTCTGCCATGTGCCACTTTCAGGTCTCCTCACACACTGCTGGTGTGTTGAATTTTTTTTTGACATAGGGTGCTGGCAGATTACGGGCCTCCCATAGCTGCTGCCAGGCCCCTAATCTGCCATGGGGCCCCTATATACCGCCTCCTCATGCTGCTGCCAGGTCCAGAGTCTCTCATGGGTCCCTGTACGGCCTCCCATTGCTGCTGTCTCCATCGCCACACTCTGCCATGTGCCACTTTCAGGTCTCCTCACACACTGCTGGTGTGTTGAATTTTTTGACATAGGGTGCTGGCAGATTACGGGCCTCCCATTGCTGCTGCCAGGCCCGTAATCTGCCATGGGCCCCCGTACCGACTCCTCATGCTGTGACGTTGCAACAAGGTGGAATTCAACCCTACATATGTTAGACCGCCTTTACGAACAGCAAAAGGCCATCACAGATTTCCTGATGTTAAAAGCGGATAAAAGGTACTCCCTGTGTAACTTAGATGTCAGCCATTGGCAGCTCATGCGTGACACCTGCGCTTGCTCAGGCCCTTTGAGGAGGCCACGCTATTCGTGAGTCGGCAGGACTATGGGATGAACGACGTCATTCCTCTGTTGCACGTCCTGGAACAAATGCTGTTAACAATGGCTGGTCAGGGTGCGGTAGACGTGGCGCACAGATCTCAACGCCACATGACCCCTGTGGGGGCAGGACAGGAAGAAGAGGAGGAGGTAGAGGAGGACATTGGTGCTCAGGAATTATTGAGTGAAATGGGTGGTTTTTTTCCACTCAGCGGACAGGAGTGGAGGAGCAGGAGCATCTGGTAGAGGAGGAGGAGAGGAGACAGAGGACCCAGACGCACCGTGGCAGTATGCTGTGGAGATGGAGGCAGGGAGAGTCCCGCATTCCTTGGCACAAATGGCCCATAGCATGCTCGCTTGCTTGCGTACGACAGCCGAATAATAACCATCAGACAGAGGGATGACTTTTGGCTGTCCACCTTGTTGGACCCTCGCTACCGTTCAAAAATGGTGGCCTTTTTCACACCTGCTGAGAGGGGAGGCCAAAATAACGTACTATAAAAACCACCTATGTAGTCAGCTGGTCTCTGCCTGTCTGCGCCAACGTCCATCCTCAGACACTGTGGGCCCTGTGTGCGCTCGCGTTCCGCTGCCATGGCAGCAGGGGAGGGGTGGGGTGGTAGGAGCAGTGGCAGCTCCACCAGCAGCAGCTGCCTCAGTCTGCAGTCGATGATGAGTAGCTTTCTTCACCAGCGCAGTGAGGAAACTAATAACCAGCCGCAGCAGCAGCAGCAGCAGCAGCAGCATCAGGTGGACCTGGAGCAGGACCTCAAACAACAGGCTTAGGCCTACTTGGACAGCACCCTGCCAACCGAGGTAGACAATCCCCTTGACTACTGGGCAACGAAACTTGACCTTTGGCCCCAACTAGCTGAATTTGCCCTTGAAAGGCTGTCATGTCATGCCCGGCCAGTAGCGTGGCATCGGAGCGCGTGTTTAGTGCGGCAGGAGGTATTGCAACTCCGCGGAGGACACGACTGTCCACCCAAAGTGTGGAGAGACTCACGTTTGTGAAAATGAATCAGGCGTGGATTAGTCTGGATTTCAAACCACCAGTTCCTGACACAACTGACTAAATCCGCCATGAATCATGCCCCAAACATGTGCCACTTTCAGGTCTCCTCACACTGCTGGTGTGTGTTCATTTTTTGTCATAGGGTGCTGGCAGATTACGGGCCTCCCATAGCTGCTGCCAGGCCCCTAATCTGCCATGGGCCCCTATACCGCCTCCTCATGCTGCTGCCAAGTCCAGAGTCTGTCATGGGTCCCTGTACGGCCTCCCATTGCTGCTGTCTCCATCAGCGCCACACTCTGCCATGTGCCACCACTTTCAGGTCTCCTCACACACTGCTGGTGTGTTCAATTTTTTGACATAGGGTGCTGGCAGATTACGGGCCTCCCATAGCTGCTGCCAGGCCCCTAATCTGCCATGGGCCCCTATACCGCCTCCTCATGCTGCTGCCAGGTCCAGAGTCTGTCATGGGTCCCTGTACGGCCTCCCATTGCTGCTGTCTCCATCGCCACACTCTGCCATGTGCCACTTTCAGGTCTCCTCACACACTGCTGGTGTGTTCCAATTTTTTGTCATAGGGTGCTGGCAGATTACGGGCCTCCCATAGCTGCCAGGCCCCTAATCTGCCATGGGCCCCTATACCGCCTCCTCATGCTGCTGCCAGGTCCAGAGTCTCTCATGGGTCCCTGTACGGCCTCCCATTGCTGCTGTCTCCATCGCCACACTCTGCCATGTGCCACTTTCAGGTCTCCTCACACACTGCTGGTGTGTTCCATTTTTTGTCATAGGGTGCTGACAGATTACGGGGCCTCCTCCCATTGCTGCTGCCAGGCCTGTAATCTGCCATGGGCCCCCGTACCGCCTGGTCACGCTGCTGCTGGGTCCACAGTGTGACATGGGTCCTGTACCGCCTCCCATTGCTCCCACTCTGCCATGTGCCTTTTGAGGTCTCCTCACACTCCTGCTGGTTTCCATTTTGTCATAGGTTGCTGGCAGATTACAGGCCTCCCATAGGTGCTGCCAGGCCCCAAATCTGCCATGGGCCCCCGTACCGCCTCGTCACGCTGCTGCTGGGTCCACAGTGTGACATGGGTCCCTGTACCGCCTCCCATTGCTCCCACTCTGCCATGTGCCACTTTCAGGTCTCCTCACACTCCTGCTGGTTTCCATTTTGTCATAGGTTGCTGTATGGCCTCCCATTGCTGCTGCCTCCACCGCCACACTGTGGCTCCAAACACTGGTTTTGGCCCCGTGACTGGCCAAATGAGTGAAGTGTGCGGTGATTCTAAGATCGACGGCACTCATCTGCATGTCATACTGACTGACAGTATTATTTCTCTTCCCCAGCAGACTCCAAGGGCATTTAAATTAAAGGTACAGTGTTCTGCACTAATATTAAGTCTCTCTGAAGCCTAGAAACACCCTTTTTTAATTTTGTTTTGAATTTTACATTCCTATTGTTGCATGTCAAAAAGTTGACCTTTAACCTTAGCTTGTAAAAAAAACTCTAAAAATTAAGAGATAACTTCTTCTGACAGGGC